CCTCTTGCATCTAGCAATGGAAGCAATCTCTTTCCAGTTTCTTAGCAAGTCATCCACAGGAAAATCTGAAAACAACTCCAAAGATTTTAGCTAGTGGACAGCCCTTAAAAGGATTCAATCTAACAATTCTTCCAATGTTCTTTCCTTGTCGGAAAAAATATGTGAGTTTCTTTCTTCCTACAATGACCAGCATATCGCTGCCCCAATACACCTCCACATAGTCTTCCCTCACTTCTTAGGCCAACTGAAAAAAGGAGAAAACAAACCTGGGACAGTCTCCGGAGGATACCGAGAAGTTTTCCTTAGCTTCTGAATTCTGACCAGTCCTTCCAATTTGTTCACCAAACTTGTAGGCTTCCTATCCTCTTTACACCCCCAGCACACCTGTTCCCTTTGTTCATTAATCTTTAGAGATCCTCCTACATTCTGTCTGACCCCTATTGATTATTAAATTCATGCAGGATTAATAACTAACAATCTGAGGGCTTCATGGTCTAATTCCAGATTTTAATCAAATCCTTTACAACCATCTCAATTAGTTTTTATTTGTATGGGTTTTGCATGACTAATTTTAAATATCTAGTGATCAAATAGGTTGGAAAGAAATTATTTCTGCAGAAAGAGAACTATCTTTCTAAAGGGGCCAAGTTGACCTGGATTTGAGTGCCAAGGTCAGTCTTGTCCTCACCTTCTGGTAATGTCATCACTAAGGTGCAGAACTAGCCCACACAATCATTCTGGTTGATGATCATCTATGGTAGAGATGCATATAAAAAAGGACATAGCTTCTTAGAGTTGATACTGTAATGTATTTGTTAGAATGCACTACTTAGTTGCCTGCAATGTCATGTCAATATGAGAAATAAGAAATAGTTCAGGCAGTAAAGGCCACCAGTAGACACAGGTGATCATGAAGCTAGGAATTGATGGTGGTGCCAAAGGAACAAAATAGCCAATTGCATGAAAATTAAAGCTGTCTTCACCAAATATCTACAATTCAAAATACAAATTCTTAAATTTCTGCCAGGATTAGTTTACTTGTTTTTTAATCTTAGAAGTTGAAATTTTAGAGCAGCAGTTGTTTCAGAAAAAAAAAAAAAGAAAAAAAGGAAAGGAATTGATTTCAAATTACTGTAGGTGTAGGTTAAGAACATCAATCCTCGTATTTTTGCACTGCCATTGAACCAGTGTCAACTTGCCATCATTTGAATCATCTCCTAATGGAAGCTGAAAAATTCCATGATCTAACAAATTTGAGTTCATAAGTTAATTAGGGACTATAATACAAATATAAACTGTACAATGTGCTGATAAAGAACAACAAAACAAGTAGAGAAAGCAAATTTTTTAATGAACCAATCCAACAACAAAACAAAACTATCTGTTTCCCTCGGTGTTTTGAAACCATCGTTGACCTGGGTGGTTGAACTGTCACCAAGCAACAATTTTGGCTGAGGTTAACCCCAAACCGGGTACTTAGTCAAAAACTGTTGGCTTGATCAGAGACCTGTTGACCCAGATGGTACATTATTTTTATTTTTAGGTTCAATTTCTTTTACTTTTAGGTTTAAATTTATTTTTGGCTACCACTGGTTTTTGGGTGCCTTTCCATGTTCGATATGGCGTAAATGAAAAAAGATGGAGGCCTCGTCCATCCACAAAAAATGGAAGAGCTGTGAAAACTTTTAGAGGCCATAACTTTGTGCTCTGTGATTGAATTTTTTTGGGGAGTTTTGGTAACTTTTCGTGATCTATGTGATGCAAGGCGCATTGGCCCAGTGCTCTTGCCCAAAAATGCCTTATGATCTGCTTTGTGCCTTTGAAGCATTTGCCTTTTGGCCCTGTTAATTCAACAGTGTTTACTAATGTAGTAATTTAATTCTTGGCCAACTGACTTGGAGTTCTCTCATGCAGAGCTTTGAAGCCTTGAACCAACGGGCTGTTGCAGTGGTGGTTGACCCAATCCAAAGTGTAAAAGGGAAGGTGGTGATTGATGCCTTCCGCTTAATCAACCCACAAACTATGATGCTTGGCCAAGAGCCAAGGCAAACAACATCTAATCTTGGACATCTAAACAAACCACCCATTCAGGTGAGTACTTGATGCATGTCCCTTATGTGTCCAAAATATTATCTTTTGTTGTGTGCTTTGCATTTTAACCCGTTTGTCTCATCTCAACTTTTCTTTCAGGCTTTGATCCATGGATTGAATAGGCATTACTACTCGATAGCCATTAATTACAGGAAGAATGAACTTGAGGAGAAAATGTTACTCAACTTACATAAGAAGAAGTGGACTGATGGACTGACACTACAACGGTTTGATACCCATGCCAAAACTAATGAGCAAACTATTCAGGTAAGGAAAGGTCTCCTCTCCTAGCTTCTTCTCTTTAGCTTCACTGCTGTTACCTGGCATGCTCATTTTTTCATCTTGACATCTTTTCAGCAGGATACCCACAGAAGAAGTGAATTTATTAGATAACAAGATGCATATGATCATAATATTTTGTTTATCATGATAATTTGCCATGAGATCCTATGTCAGGCTCCTATTTGTTGCATCTTTTAAAAAGCAACATCCTTTTTTGTCCATTGATGTTTTTGGAAGCTTCATTTTGGCATCCCTCTTATATTCACTTGGCATGTTGTGTGATGAGCAGGAGATGCTGAACTTGGCAATCAAATACAATAAGGCGGTTCAGGAGGAAGATGAATTGCCACCAGAGAAGCTAGCGATTGCAAATGTTGGCAGACAGGATGCCAAGAAGCATCTGGAAGAACATGTTTCCAACTTGATGTCATCAAACATAGTTCAGACTTTAGGAACAATGCTAGACACAGTTGTATTCTGAGGGTAGAGAGAAGGGAGGGTTCAGCACGGATTCAAGTTGCATTTCATTGGAATTAACTCATACTATAACCAATTTTTTGTCATAACTCAAAAGGCCATTTCATTCTAGTTGAACAAAAATTAAGAAAAGTCTGAACCATATTCGTTGGTCTTACTTAACTCCATATATTTTGTTTCTTTTTTCTTAAGATTCATATTTGTCTAGTCAGCAATTTTTTAGTACAACTAATTAACATTAACTACATGGTTTTCAAAACCGAATCAGACCAGATGGTCGGACCGGAAAAACCAGTAACCGTTCAGCCCTCGGGTCCGGTTATACCATAAACCGGTAAATTTTTAAAACCCGTTACAAAAGTCAGAAAACCGCTGACCTGGGCGGTCAAACTGCTAAACCATTCAACCCGGGCAGTGGTTCGTGGGTTATCATTTTTATTTTCACGGATTTAAATAAAACAAAAAACAAAATAACCCCCATATTCCCAATCCCATCTATTATGTTTAGGGTTAGAATGACCCCATTTTCGTTCTAACCCTTTCCTCCTCTCAGTCGCCACACCCAACCGATCACCTGTGGCAGCCACAACCTACGGTGACAACACAGTGACCGACGGTGATTCACGGTGACCGGCGACAGTGGTGAGCTTCATCTACGGCGGCCAGCGTTGATTTTGCAGCAGATCCAACCATAACAGTAGTGGATTGTGGCAGTAGCAGGTCTGGCGACCAACTTGCAGCGGCAGGGGACGATTTTGCAACCTTACCTTCGAGCTTGAAGATATATAAAATTCAAAAAAACTGTAAAACTTTTGGTTCCTGAATTGGTGGTTCCCAATTGAATGTCAGGCTCAAAATTGGTTGGTTCCAAAGTTTTCCTTGGGAACCACCAATTTCAAGCTTGACAGGCTGACACTCAATTGGGAACTCCAAAGTTTTGCTTTTTTTTTTTTTTTTTTGAACCTTATACCTTCATGTTCGAAGGACTGAAAGTCGGGTGGTTCTCAAAATTTAAAATATATTTTATTTTTTATTTATTTATGATGTTACGGGCCAAACCGTTTAACCGGAAACCGATCCCCTGACCGGTTCTGTTTCAGTTCGTTTTTAAAAACCTTGATTAAATATGGGGACAGTCCGGATTCAGTGGACCCTTAGGTTCACGGGGCGCGTGAACCCTCCGAAGGGAGGCGTGCACGCGTGAACTCTCCTCTATTCCGTTACGGCGCTATTTTAACTAACGTTAAATGTAAGACATTTCCCTTGTCAGACCAGTTCAACCGGGTGAGAAAAAACAAAAGTAATCGAAACCTCTTTCCCCTTTCGTTTGAACTCCCTCTCCCCCATTTTCACCCGAGCCTAGCAACAAAAGCACACCGGTAGCGTCTTCACTATTTCACCGTCCTCACTGTGAATTAGGCTAAAACTTACGTGACCATGGTCTCCAAGGTTGACGGCGAATGCCCCCTTGACGGGCTGAACGGTGAGCCATGTCTTGCCCCCATCCTTTGTAGCTTGAAGGCTTCCTACCTGGTCCTGCAGCAGAAGAGTAATGGTTCCGGGGTCAGTGCGTCGCTTCAGGCGAGCGTGAGGTCAGGTTGCGGGCATTTGGGATAATAGTTGACGACCACCTTTTGGTACATGCATGTCGACACAAGCCTTGGTAAGGGCATCTGTTTCAAGCCCCATCACCTCCGACAGCACCCCCAACAACTTGCAGGCCAGTTCCATGAGCTTCTCACTGTAATTCTCGGTCACTTCCTTCCACCCCTCCCACTTGTCGGGCCACCTCGAGTAGTCTCTGGTGCGAAGTGGGTATGAGAAGTAGGTCACGACTCACGATGTCACGTCAGTCCTGGACTGCCTCTCCCTGCAAAAACCCAAATTCTTCTCAACACCCATATTACATGAGGAATTTGATTCCACTTTCATCATTAGATGGTCGCCAAGCGATGATAATTTTTTTCCCATCGCAACCGCATCAACTCTGAGTATGAGATCAAAGAGGATGAGGGTCGACCGTAGGTAGATGACCAATCCAATGGTTGCAAGCGAACCGCTGCCTAGTTTTATAGCAAATGTGTGTGCTAGGACTGCCAATCCACCGGTTTAAGGCGGAATGAAATAACAAAGTTTGCAATTGCATGGTTCCCACTGGACCTGACCAAACCTCGGCTGGGATCAAGTCCTGCCTTCGCGATCCCCACCACCATACGTCCATATTCCTCCAAATGTTTGCCCATAGAAATAATAATAATAATAAAAGAGAATACGATTATTGAGAAATTTGACAACTGCTCATGAACCGAATGCACTTAACACATGATTGATTACGCACGGGGTATGGGTAGCCAGCATTGAATACAGTATTGATGGTATAAAATAGTAGAGTATATGATAGGAAGTAGGAGAGAGAATGCTAGTAGCTTTTATATTTTTTTGTTTTTCTCGTACGCTTATTTGCAATACAAAAGGACCGATTTTACATTATTTGTGGTTGATATTATTTGTTCTAGATTCTTCTCTTACGTAAGGAATTTTGACCACACAAATTTATTTACTAAGTTATAGAGTAAAGTATTACTGGACTGATATATGCTGCAATTGCAATCTGAGACATCTTTTTATATCAAGAGTCAAGAGATGGTGCCCTCGCCGTAATCCATACAACAGAAGAGATGCGACTCATCCTTCTTTTCTGAGTGCAGTTGTATTTTAGCTAAGCGCCTAATAAGCCTAATTTAACACTTGCTAAACAAAGCAATATAATTACTGCTTCACTTTGGCGTGCAACACAACACGGTCGGAAGTTGGAACTCTAATGGTTAATCGTCAATGTTGACAAAGGATACCAAGCGTTTCATGAGGGTCACGGCTTTCTCACAAGTGGGATTGAAGAGATGGAAGACGTGATCCTCCCCTTGGGACTCCATAATCTCCGCCTCTCCACTCCATCCGCTCTTCACCAGTGTTTCATAGTAAATCAATCCTCTATCTTTCAGAATGTCTTTTTCTCCCACGCACACTAGCAGGCGACTGCAACCCAATCTCGACAGGCTCGGCGCTCCCTCCCCAACAGGGTTAATGCGTGGGTCATCAGCACCCGCCGAGGACGGGCAAGCAAGGAGCCACATCTTGTCCGCCATCTTCGCCTTATCTGGGTCCTCTGCCTCCGACCCTATCCTCTTCTCCCCCCAAAAGTAAGGATGGATCAAAGCAATACCACGAAGCTTCAAGCCGGTGGCCCCAGCTCGCATAGCCATATCATGGGCTATGTTGGCACCGGCGCTGTCCCCCGCCAAGAAAATTCGTTTGCAATCCACATGATCCCTCAACCAAGGCTCAGCACCGTCCTGGTCCATGGAATGGGAGACCACCCACTGGAGGACCGCCCATGAGTCGTCGTAGGCGATCGGAAGTGGGTACTCGGGGGCTCTTCTGTATTCCACCGATACAGCGACAATATTTGCCTGAGCTACCAGAGAATTGAGATAGTAGTGGTAGGTGGGAGAAAAAGCAGTCTCGATGACGAAGCCTCCACCGTGAAAGTAAATGAGAAGAGGGAGTTTCTGATGTGGGTCGGTTATTTTGGGGAGATACAGCCTAGCAGATACACCGGTTTCGGGTACGATGATTACATCCTTGGATGAAACACCGGTTTGGGGATCCAATGATGCCTGAACAAAATCAGTGCCGATAAGCCTCTTTACATGCCCATCTTTATACAGTACATAAAATGGAGGAAATTCGTAGGCTATTTCAGCCGCGCTTGAATCCATCAGAGGACGAAGAAGAACGAAGAAGAAGTGGAGAGAGGTGGTTGGAGGCTTGGAGGAATTCGGATGCTAATCTCGTTACAATATATGAAATGGAAGGAGGTGAGTGAAGACCATGAGAGGCCCCTGACCGAGTCAGAGGGTCCACGTCTCCTTCTATTATACGACGATTAGAGTAACTTACGTCTGCAAGAAAATTTTACTGGCACTAAAGTTTCTAATTGATTTGTTTGGAACACCAACAAAAGCAATAATTGACCGCTCATGTGGCATGTAATTAATTTGTTCACAAATTCGAGAAAAGCAATAATTGACAGTGTAATTATGCATTACATACTATTTTACCCTTTCTTATGTTTGACCCATTTTACAATATCCCAAAATTACCCCACCATTCTTCAACCCAAAACCCTAATAGTTTGAACGAAAGAGAACCATTGTCATTGCTTCTTTCACCATTTGAGAAAAAGAAAACCCAAGGTTTTTAAAACCAACCCAGACAATGACCAATTCCCGGGTGACAAAAAATAATAAATAAATAAATAAATAGTCAAAACCGTCGAACAGTTCAACCGCTCAGGGCAACGGTTTGCATTCAACTAATATTGCATAAAAAAAACTAATAAAATGATAAAAGTTTTCAAAAAATTTACAATACATATTTACATATTTCAAAACATTAGAAATCTATGGAACTTTGATCATAATCTTCGTTCCTTCACAACATCAAATCAGATGTAGGAGCGAGTGAGAGGGATAGTGGTGGTGTGGCAGTGGTCAGAATCAAGATTTAAGCGAGAGAGAGGATGGTGTGGCGACTATAATCGAGATCTGAGGGAGAGAGAGAGAGAGGGTGGAGCAACGAATGGAATCAAGATCTGAGCGAGAATGGATGGTGCGATAGCTAGAATCTAGATTTGAGTAAGAGAGGATGTTGTGGAGGCCGGAATTGAGACCTAAGCGAGAGAGGATGGTGTGGCGTGCACCTATTGTAGATCTGAGTGAGTTAACCAAGAGAGAGGGAGATAGTTGGTGCGGTGTCTACCTTTTGAAGATCTGTGTGCAAAGAGAAAGGGAGAGACTTGCGACGGTCGAAAGATCTGAGTGAGAGATTGATCGGCACGCATGCACACACATAGAGTTTCGGAAGAGTCTAATGCTAAATGACACTTTTTCCTTAACTCGCCAATCAAGAGTAATTTGGTCATGAAAATGTTATTTATGTTGATGTGGACAACTTCTATCAATGAACATTAGCAATGATATAGCGGGATGTGAGTTTTAGAAAATAAAAACTTAGTGACATGGAAAGTTTTGTACGTTTAAAAAAATTATGATATATTTAAAAGAATTCATAAAAATCAAGGGTAATTTTAGACAATCTTTTTTAAAAACAAAGGTAATTTTATAATCTACTCCACCTAATCTTTCTAGGGATTGGAAAATGTGTTGGAAGATGAACCATAACTCTTAAAGTCGGTATTGGGTTTAATAGAAAGAGAAGATAAGCAGAAATTTGTGGGAAAGTGGGAAGTCAGAATTAAGTTTCGCAACGGCGTAGATGGTCAGCTACCATAAATTGGTCCCAAAGTTTATTAATTATACATATTCAGAAAAATATTCACAGATGATGCAATATATAATATATGCATAGTAATATTAATTATACATATTCAAAATATATAATTATATTTTATTATAATATTTTTATTTTATTTTCAATTTTTTGAAAATTAAGATTTAAGAATAAAAAGACGCTTTTTTGGTAAAAATAATAGGGAAGACACCTTCGGCCGGTCAACAAATTTTTGTTGACTTTTGATTTTAGAGATATGATCAAATTGGTTAGGGGCTGTGGCATGGTTCAACTGATTTGACCGGTTGGTACCATGGGTCCTGCAACAAACTCGACATCAGTGATACTACCAAAAAGTGCCTATTATTGAGGTAAAATACTAATTCTAAACAAGGCGACCTACCAGGATATAGACCGGCCTGAATGAGCTTGTCCTCGGTAAGGTAGTCCTTGTAGTCGAAGCCGAGCTCCGCCCAAGACTGGAGCGTCTTCCTTGTATCCTGGTCCAGCGAAATGCCAGAGTTCTATATGGCCACCCTCCAGTGAGTGGGGAAAGGCCACCCCGCTGGGTTGCGAACTACAAAGTAATCTCGTTTCTAGGCCGAGATTTTGTTGGGGAGCTCGTGTAACAACTTGAAGCCCGGACGGGGGGACAGGTAGTAGGTCCTCATGTGCTCGGGGAGAACGCTAGAGGCATTCTTCTTTATGGAGAGAATGGAGGAGAAAATGTCGAGGTCAAGAGGAAGGGCGTAGTCGAAGCAAAGGGAAATGGTACCGACCACGTTCAGGACAGAGTTCGGGTGGAGTTGATCTATAGTGACGTCGAAGTGATTTAACACTTCAACAATTAGGGGTGCAGTGGAAGACGGAGTCCGACCGCGACCTGCTCCCCGAAAATCATGATCTCGTCACGACCGTGTTACCAAGGGAAGTCACTGCAGAAAGGAGGTAGATATACTCCCCATGAAGGTTATACAGAGCTATTAGGGCCCAAAGCCTGTCAACAGTCATGGTAGAAGGGCCGAACTTGTCCGGTATCCGACCTCGCTGAGAGGTGGACGCCGGGTTACCCGAGGTCTCCCGCACCTCGTAGACTGATTGTGCCTCGGAGGCACCTGCTTGAGCCGGGGCACCCACCTCGGGCTCATCTAAGAGACTGTCTGCCTGAGCCAGGGCACCCACCTCGGGCTTATCTAAGAGGCTATCGAAGCTATGGTTTGATATAGCTATGAGCTGAAAAAGAATAAAGAAGAAAAGCGAACTACGAACTGAAAAGGAGATACTAAGGAGACTCACCAAGGGAAAGTGATCGAGCTAGGAAAACTGACGAATTGGAAAACCCGAGCTGAGGAACTTAGCCACGACCTTAAGATGAACGATGGTGAACTTATGGCGGAGAAAATGACTGGGGTCCCCCTCTATTTATAGCAGATATGCCCGAGATTCAACGGTTGAGATCAAGACGATCTAACGGCTCTCAAGAAAACCAGTTGTGCGACCCACGAGGTGAAATCAGTTTAGCGCGTTTTTTTACGTCCGCRGAGTCTATAGATCGCGTGACGTCCACACGTGAACAGTACGCAACCCGGGTTATCCTTGATTGAGTCGAGCWGTGAACTAGTCCGACTAGCAAACTCTGACGAGGCGGCCTAGACTTCGGGCCAAATCCACCCGCCACGTCATGAACTCCACACACCAAGTCAGGACCCCTGGCTCGGGGAGTGGGGGGCAATTGATGGAGGGTGATTTGACCCGACCTCATCATAAGAGGACACGTGGACGTGACTCAGCATAAGTGACAACTCAACGCGACCAGTCCGCCAAGATCCAGCATGGCAGCTCGGTACCAGATGACACTCCGATTACCCCGAGCTAAGATTCTTCCAAGAAAGCGCCCTGAGCTAAGATTCTCCCAAGACAGGAATCTCCCAAGGTCAAGGCACTTCGGGTTGAGCTCAGCAACCTCCTAAGAACTCGCCTGACCAAACTCAAGCAGGCCACCTCGAGTAGCACCTCGTCACAATACCAGCAGCTCGACACAAGATAGCTCGGTACAAGGTAGCTCAGGGTAAAGCAGCTTGGCGTATCACAGGAAGATCTCCTACCTGACAACCGTACCTGTCACATCTGGGGACTGCACCCACGTCTCTCGCCAGGCGGCGGCGTGCTTGCCAACCCTGAGAGGTGTCTCTCGCTTGGCAGGCTCGTACTCTGCAACAGTTACCTACACAGCCCTGGCAAGTAACGACTGCGGTAGAGAATCAGAGGCGGTTATGCCTGATTTAACAGGACATTAGTATATAAAAGCTACGACCCCCAAGAGCAAAGGTAACTTGCATGATCTGCACTCTAGCTCTCTCATTTCTTGCTCTACAACTCTCTTCCTGCTACTAACTTAAGCATCGGAGTGTTCCCGCCGAGCAAGCCCCCCCGGGATCCTTTACCTTCTTCTTCTCAGGCATCCCGCCCGACGCCAATTAGGAGCAAAGTCTCTTCCAGCTAGGAGTGACCAGGTCGTGCATCATCAATTGGCGTCGTCTGTGGGACACGCTTCGAAAAGCCTTTTTCCACCAAATTTTGTAACTTCAGTTTCCATGGCTTCCTCCAGCAACGCCGGACGCAGCGTAGAAATGAGTGCCACCGGGGAGAAACTTCAGGTCCCAACAGTATGTATTGGACAGTTCACCGTCCCCCTCTTTGCGGACGGAGTTCCTACTCTGAACGTGTCTCAAATAATGGCACCTATGAATGCTCCACTCCCCTCCATGGTAGGAGCAACTTTCGCCGAACCCTCCATTGTTCCTCCGGTGACCGGCCAAAGCCAGCATGAAGATCTGGTGCACTGCATGCGAGCTATGCAGGCTCAAATGCAACAGTTTCAATAGTTTCAGCTGTATCAGCAACAAATGTTGCACCAAGTCTATCAGCAGCAGTACCAGCAACAGTTTCTACCACTGCCCCAGAACCAGCAACAAGTTCCTCCTCGATACCCCACTAGGCAGCGGGCCAAGCCTCGCCGTCGCAGCGTGCAACCCCCTCGCCGGGGAGAGACCTCCCAAACTCAAAACCCTCTTGGGAGTTAAACCTCATCCCGTAGGAGGGAAAGATAAGCTGCTCCCCCCACCTCGCAGCATGTAATCAGGTCAGGGGACTCTCAACCGTCCAGGCCCGCATCACCTCGACCTTCACAGTTTAAGATCCCGCTCGTCGAGAACTAGTTCGAGATTCTGGCTGCATATTATAGACAACGCCCTTCGGTCCATAGCCATCGGCAGCAGTCTGAGCCCCTCTCTGGGCTTACTGTGCCCGAAAACACAAAAGCCAGCAGCACCAATGCAGAGATAGTAAAGAAGCAGCGAAGACGCCGTCRAGCTCGCCGAGCTACAGCCCAGCAACTGCCCAAGCTCCCCAAAGAAGAGGCAAGCGCAGGAGCAGTGAAAGCCACCCCACTCCTCTTTGTATCATCTCCTCTGGCTCCCGAACTCCTGGCCGTCCCAATGCCCAAAGACTTCAAGCCAAAGATGCCCAAGGACCCAAGAAAGCCTCC